AAGAAAACAAGCGACCAGAACTGCTCGCATGGTAACTGGCGAGCTGCATTGTTTCACACATTTTTTTTCATGCAGCATTATATAGATCGCAGCGCTAATTAGATTATTTTATGACTAACATTTGCCGGTAGCTTTTATCGCCAGAACGTCGAGTAACATTAACCATTACCAAGTTTGAGTGAATCTACGCCAAATGTACCAAATATTTCTACCCTAGATACTGATATCTTGCGTCAGTTCCCTGTACACATGCATGCCTTTCTTTGCCAGAGATATCCGAGCAGTTGTTTAGATGTAAGTTGTTGAAATACTCCGATTGCCAGGCAGATATCTTTCCTCGCTCAGCTAATTATGCGTTTTTTTGCATCTATGCAATGCAGAAAACTAATATTGACAAGGGGTTGTCTCTGTGTGTGTATGTCTGCGTGTTGGTCCGTACCGATTTTTCATCTCGAAACCTACAAAAATTACAGGACTGAAACTTTGGGAACTTAATCTACATGCATGTACGGGCCCCCATCCCCAAAATGGGCGCTCTTACCCGCACGGCACCCATGTACGGGCTCGCCAAAGTTATTTACGGGCAAGCTGCTAACTCGGGAACCAGAAACGCCGAAAAGCTGAAATTTTAAGGGGATATTCTTCGTCCACACAGGTATTAATGAGCTCAAAAATAGTTTTCGGATATGCGTGGTATCCACGTACGACTCGTGAAAGTTTTTTTTAGGTAAATTGCTAACTCGAGAACCTGAAAAGCTAGAAAACTGGAATTTTGAAGGAGTGTTCCTCATCCAAGTATTGTTGGTGAGCTCAAACCCAGACACCGGGTATGCGTGGTATCAATGTAGGGGCCTGTAAAAGTTTTTTTCGGGTAAGCTGCTAACTCAGGAACCTGAGAAGCTAGAGGACTGGAATTTTAAGGGGATATTCTCCATCCAAGTGGGTATTAATGAGCTCAAACCCAGACACAGGGCATGCGTGGTACCCAAGTACGGGTCCGTGAAAGATTTTTTCGGGTAAATTGCTAGCTCAGCACGCGGAAAAACCAGAAAGCTGAAATTTTAAGGGAGTGTTTCCTGACAATTCTGGGGACCAGTATTAATTTGTTTAGCTAGAAGCATTTACCGGAAAAACCGGTGCCGGTAGCAACAAAAATGCGGGGAACTATGCAAAAAACGCATCTTCGCACGGGCAGCCCGTGCCAATTATTTTTATTTTATTAGCCGTTTGGTACAAGTACTCGTACCGGTAGCCTCGGTTGCTGCATCACTTGCTATTGCCAGAATACTTCCGAGCGTCTTGGCCTCTCAGCGAAAGAATTGACTTTTAACTTTAAATTTCGATGATGTTTATGGCTGGCTTCTCCGAACCGTTTGTTTCACTTGCAGATGGATGATCTAGAATGTTTGCGACGATTAGCCGTTTGTCTGCTAAATGCTTGGTTAGGAAACGGGCTCTCAACGAATCAAACTGTACTTATTGTCAACAGTACTCATCCGGATGACTACGTATGTTGCACTGTTTAGCAACCCAATGCCATCACTAAAACATCAGACTGCAAGTAATAAGCCCTCACCTGCACACGGTAGAGTATCCCAGAGAGGACCGTTACTTGTATAAGTCGCTCCGTTCTTCAGAAATTTCTGCATGTGCATGCGCCAACTTGGGATTACAATAAACGAAACTATGAGTGAAGTGCCCATACAACCTGCTTACAATCGAATTTTAACAATTTGCTAGTCGTTTGTTGTCATCGAAGCCCGGACAATACTACAGAATATTCATTCCCACACAAATGAACCGACGCCGCTAGATCTCGTATGGAAGTCTTGTAACCATTCGGAAGAAACCGGATCTGTAGGTCGAAAAAAAACTGCTTATTGAATGATTTTTGTAGTTTCATGATTCTTGTAATAGCAACAGTGCAGTTTTGGTAATCTCTGGTTAACTACATTCTGACCTTTCCAACAACAATATTTACGAAGAATTAACTAAAAAAAAATAAACCACTTTGGAAAAACCACCGCGCCGTATTTTCCGTTTTGAAATTATTTTTTGATTTTCTTCGAAAGTGACATTGGCCATTCTGTTTGAACTATGATCGAAACAACGCCAAATTTCTTAGTTCATGATAACCAGCTGTCTCCGAAACTCAATTCCCCATTTTCCAAAGTGCTGCATTCATTTTTTTTTTCTTTAAAGCGTGTACTAAAATTTCATAAAAAGTAATCCCCAAAACATTTTAATACACTGGCTTTTCACGAAGGATAAGCGCCGATTCGTGTAGTGCGCACTGCAACACACTGGTCGATTCCTGTCTTCTACAGTAATCCAATATTTAAAGATCAGTGATAATTTGCGACTTTTCATTTTTAATTTTGTGTTGGACGGTTTTTGCAGATAGGACTAAATTGTACAACGGAACGGCGGACGAATCCCACACACTACCAAATCAACATTTTTGGCCGAAATTGCTCAAAAGTTCGTGTGCAACGACAGGTATCATCGGTTGACGAGTTTAAGGACAGGCTGTCTCACGGAACTCCTTCCAAACCATCTCGAACAGTTCATTATAGCCCGCAAAGTTAGTCACTGATTTGCTGCACTATGCATGGATTTTTCGAAGGACTGTTTAAAGAAGCCATTTATATTGGTCACAACAGTGATCTTTGTTGGTATGAAAAAAAGCGGTAACTTAAGGCAGTTTAATTAGCCAA